GGCAGGCGCTGCAGGAAAAAAGTCTGATGTTTCCCAACAGTTGGTCTGTGGGGTTTTGTATGACCACAGCTAATGGCTTTTCATCTGAGTATGGACATATAGTGCCTTCAAAGTTTTCATGTAGTTTTATGTGACATGTATAGAGAGTAACAGGAGGCTAGCCCTCGGAAGAAATGCGACCTTTTCATTAAGAAAGATTAAAGGAAAATGTTCTGAGATGAGGAGATGACTCAGTAAAAGGCGTGTGGCTTAAGTGTGTGGACAGTTCAGGCCCTCAGTACCCACGTCAGAAACCATCGCCCGCAGTCCCAACAGTGGGAGGCATGGACTGGAGGATCCCTGGAACTTGTAGGCCAGCACAGCTTTATTAGGGAGCCCCAGGTCTGGGAGCCCCCATCCTATCCTCTCCAAATGTCTAAAGCACCAACTTGTAACTTAGCAGCTATTTATTCCTGATGTTTTTCTCAAATAATTGACATTTCTTGATTATTCTATCTTAGATAGCCGAGGTTCCAGCTTCCAGTCTCTATAGGTTAGGCAGCTGTGACTATGCCCATATAGTTCAACATTGAGAAAAACAGTATTTAAATTTCCTTTCTTGTATTCTGTTCCCCCAAATCAGTTGCCAAGTTATGTGGCCACCAGCCTCTGTGCTTTGTCTTGAGAGAACTCTGTAAATGCTTCAGACCTTCACCCACCCATTATTATTTTTTACTACTTTGTTTCCTAAGCTAGCTACAAAGCTGGCATCTTGAGTTTTATTTCCTAGATCCCAAGCAACCTTCTTTTGGTTTGTACAACCCTTCCTTTTGCTTGGACACCTCCTCTAGTAGGTTTCTAAGAAATGATACATGGAGGGGACCAACACATTCGGATTTGAGTGAGTGTAGCTTTATTAATTGAAAATAACTTCCTTTTCAGAATTTTGAAGGCATGTCTCCATTGTTTTCTGTATTTTTATTCCATTCTTTCTTTTTTTAAAAATAATTTACTTATTTTTATTTTCTGTACACTGGTGTTTTGCTTACATGAATGTCTGTAGGACGGTGTCAGATCCCTTGGAACAGGAGTTAGAAACATTTGTGAGCTGCCATGTGGGTACTGGAAATAGAACACAGGTCCTCTGGAAGACCAGTCAGGGCTCTTAACCACTGAGCCATCTCTCTAGTCCCCTTCTTTCTTTCTAAAGGCATCTCAGACTCACTAAACTTAAATTCAAAGTCCACCGGAAACATCTGCTTCTCATGTTAAAACATATCACATCTGTTTTTCAAAGCTCTGGTGTAAACTACTATCATTCGTCCTCCTTACCCTGAGCTTCTGATATATGTTATACTTCAAATAAATACCTAGGCTGTTCACTTTTTTCCTATACAGAAAGTAGCAGAACATGGGATTGCTGAAGTGTTCAGTATTCTTTGCATTCACATTAGCAGCTTTTTATTGAAAACACTGGGACCTTGTCAGCTGGAATGTGTTCATTTTACAGAGCAACAAGCTGACAGCTTGGAACATACCCTCAACCAATGACTGGAGTCTACACACTCTAGCTTTCTGTCCCTCAATGTCCTGGGTATGTCAGTTTGCCAGTGGAAACCTGCTTAGTGACCTTCAATAGGTTTCTTGTTTTCCCATATCCCGCTGGTGCTTTCTGGTATGACCTCCTGCATATACCACTTTCCCCAAAATGTTTCAACGCTTTGGATAGAACTCATCCTAAAATAGTAATATGGTAATTTTTCTGTCACTGGATTTCCAGGCTGCTTTCAGCTTTTCATCATCACATGTATGAGGTTTTCTCCTAGTTTTTATCCACTGTGAAACTGCTGTGTTCCTGAGTGTCTGTATCCTTATCCTTAGGAAATACCAACAATACTTAAGTCTGACAATGGGTAATTTTTGCCTGTGTTTCCCTCCTTTCTAGGGGAAGGTTTACCTCAGAGTGCACTTACTGGCCACTTCAATTTCTCCTTTAAACAGCGTATTTCTTTTTCTGATCTAATCATGGAGTCCTACAGATTCTGGATACTGGTAGCTTCCAGGTTATGTTCATTACAAGAAATCCCCACTGTTTTCTTTTGATGTACAGCTTTTCTGTAGACTTGACCCCCTTTCTACTGTGTGGTGTGCCCCCTTCTTTGATGGAAGACTTTTAGAAAGCTACCTTTACTCTTGATGTTCTGTATCCTCATTTCCTGTTGAAACACAGGCTGTGACTGAATAGCTTAAACAATTTTGTATGAAATAATTTCCAAAAAATCCTAATCATAGGAGAGAAACAGAAAACACGAACCAAATCTGATACTGTCAACTATTTATAATGCATATTACTCTTAGACATGCTAGTACTAAATAAATATTTTTTTTTTTGTGTGTGTTTCATTATAGTTTGCTTCTTTTGCTTAAGAAGCCTAGCATTTGGAGTTAGGGCCACATCCTTTTCAAGTGCTAAAAAACATTATATTGTATAGAACATAGAAACAATTCACTTTTCTGTTTTTTTGACATTTAGGCCCTTTCCAAATTAAAAAAAAATGCTGTAACAATTAACTTTCCTTTGGATTCTCTTTTTGCATGTGATATACATGTACATGTTGGGGTATGTGCATGTGTGCTTGTGAGTTGTCTTCTATTGTTCTCTACTTCATTTTTTGAGTCAGCAACTCTCCATGTACTGGGAACTCACTAATTGGGCCAGTCTTTCCCTTACCCCACCATTGTTAGGGTTACAAACATATGCCACTGTACTTGGCTTTTTACATGGGCACTGGGGATCCAAACTGTTATGTAACACTCTTCCTGGAGCCACATGAGCAAATGTCTTCTAACCTGATATGGAAGTCCCAAGGGAAGACACCACCAAAATTCAAGATGGTGGACCAATGAATTTCATTAGGGTTACTTACAGAAGCAGAAATGATTCAAAAACATGGGTGACAGCTCATGAAATCTGGAAACCTGTAGTGCGTTATATAACCTATGGGCAGCTCAACAGGTTGAGGTGTCCTTTCCAGGTAGATCAGTAGGTCTAAGCCTCTTTCAGATAGCTTCACTGGTCTCTGTGCTTTTTCTCTGCTCAGCTGTTCTACACAGTCCAGCTTGTCTCAGTGTCCCTTAGCAATCACTGCTTAAATATGCTCAGGAAGAGAGAGGTCTAGTGTGCCTGCTCAGTTTCAGGAACTTCCTAAAGCCTTTTGAGTTGCTTATTTCCTGAATTTAAGGAACTACCTAGCAGGATGGGCTGTTTCACTTCCCCTTAGAATATCCTCTTGTTTCACCTCCTTTATAACATCATGTTTCAAAACAGCTTCCATCCAAGATAGGTTTTAATTTTAGAGGAAACTGATACATAACATAAACTCAGTTTGCATGCTTTATGGGAGCTAGCTCAGTTGTTCTCCTGGCTCTGAGTTCATTATTTGTTCATTATTATTAGGTAGTATCTCTGGATCCAAATCTAGAATATTATGAATTTGAATTGACTACTCACATTCAAAAGACTGTATCTATAGTCTTTTGTATCTATGGGTTAACTAAATCTGAGCCTGTATGAGAAAACAAAGCATTCCACTACTTTGTAAGGTAATTATAACTAAAAAAAAAAAAGTCTGAATTGCAGTACCCTGCACACTGGTGGGCAATGGTTATTAAATGAAGACATAGGTCATTAAATGAAAATCTCAGTGCAAGGTATGGGCTACCTCCTTAGGAGCAATTGGTTATAGAGGTTTCCCAAACAACACAGGTTATTGCCATTGCTCTTGGATGGTCACCACAGCTAGATGGTAAAGGCAAAAGACATTGTGGTTGCAGGACATAGAGAATTAAATCTGGAGTTGACTTGTAAACTTCCCCCTTACTGGATAGCTTTCACAGTGACAGAAGGTGCTATGCATATCACTGGGGGAGAAAAGTCATTAATGGACTTACCTAGTGGTAGGCCTCGAATGCTACAATATTAGTCTACTGGTGCAGTAGTGGCTTGTCTACTATAGTGTAACCAACTTCTTTCTAATTGTATCTGAGAGCCTGCTCCACAAGAGAGAATTCTTATGTATGGTACTGTAAAACTGGTCAAATGCCTATGGCTGTGGAATTCATGGGCTCTAAGGGTGAACTTACTACTGTTGTTTTGCTAAAATGGATGGGTTTTCAAAGTACCTTCTAAATATCTATGTTCATACCCTGGATTAGTGCTGCTCATAACTCTGGTCAGAGAAGAAGTTCCTTTTTGCTGTGGACAGCAGTCAGCATGGAGACTCACGACTGATCAAAGTGCATGGAATAAACGATTGTTTATTACTCAATTCGGAATAGACCATTTATATCAAGAACCCTGCCTATGGTTCAGAGAACATTGACGAAGAAGTGGTGGACACAGTGAAAAGCCTGAAGGATAGGGAAGAGTGTTGTATATATAATGCTGTCTTCTGGACAGGACATGGCCATTACACTCACAAGCTCACAGCAGCTATGGTTGTCTGTAGATCAATCCAGTCAATATTCCACCATGCATAGGAGAGGCTCATTAGGCTCCACCTATAGTTGAAGAGCCACTGGTAACTGATGGTGGCTGGGTGTGTGTAGGTGTGGCCACTGTAGGTTGCCCATACTCCAGTGGATTGTCCACACCTAGGAACATGAAGAAAGCCTTACTGGTTTCAGTGGGTTGCAAAAAAAGAAAAAAAACAAAAACAAAAAAAAACAAAAGAGGATATGAAGGTAGTGGAGGGAATGGGAGGGGGATTTGGATCTACATATATGAAATTGTCAAGTAAAAGATAAAAAAAGATTCTTTTACGAAAAGATTGTATTAATTTACTACTTTTTTTGACCTGATGCTACAAACCCTGCTGAGATAGGAAAGGCATTTTAATTTTCATTTTTTTCATGTTCATTAATTTTCATTTCAAGCAATATCCATTCTCAATTCATTATCTCTGAATTCTTAACAGTAGCTATTATGCTTGCCATTACTTAATTTTTTTTTTTTTTTTTTTGGTAGAAGCAGCCTATTCTTGTTCTGTCACTGCAGTATCCCTTGGAATCTCACTGAAGATGAGAAACGGAGAAGTTAAATGTTCCAGACCTTATATAATCCTCCACCTGCTCCCATCTCTAAGGAGCACAATGGAGCCAGCTCTCAATTTACCCATTTTCTGTCTGAGTGAACAGAACTCTGCTCAGAGTCTGATGTGCAGAATAATTCAGTCTCTACTTTGATCTAATTTTCTTTAAAGTCTGAGTTCTAGCTCTGCTGTTTAAAACCCATTTCTGCCCTTTGTACTTATTCATCTAGCTCCTATCTCTATGAGCCCCCATATCAGCTCATGCTCTCAGGGGCTCTATGTCTTTGGGGTCTCTTGTACACACACTACCCTATGCATCTGCTGGGGAGCCACTTGAGGCTGCATGGGAGGGGCATTGAGAACTTTATGGCAAATGGTGTTTCTTAAAGTATATTTAATATAACCTGGTTAGACTAATGAAAATGAAAATAATTCTAATTGTTTAGAATTATACAGGGGCTGGGGCATGACTTTGGGGAGTGGCTTAGAGTACAACAGTTGCCCAGGATGCACAGGATCCCAGGTTCCATCTCTGGTACCACAAAACAAATACATCTTCCTAACTATCCCTCTCTAAAGAAAGAATAACTCATAGATCTAAAGCCAACACAAGTCCCATGGTCTTGTAAAAATGCATAATTTTAGGAGGAAAGCAGTAGAACTTGAAGTCAATCAGCAAGTATCTTTCTGTTAGCCTTTCTTCTCATAGACTTCAAATTTATACTTGATGCCTTTTTCCTCCTGGACTTCAGAAAGGACCCCTGGGTACCTGGAAAAGAAAAGGATTCATGACTTAATTGTACACCCATTGAAGACACATGACTTCCCTGACTTCTTCAACACTGTGTCAAGTGAGAAAGGCTTTCCTACCTTTTTTCCCCCTTTAAAGTGGTGAGCCACTCCTAAGTGAGTATTAATCTATCTATCTATCCATCTATCCATCCATCATCTATCTATCTATCTATCTATCTATCTATCTATCTATCTATCTATCATGGTAACAGAAGAGAAACAGCCAACCATGGGTAAGCTGGAAAATGTGCAGTCCCCTATTATCTCCTTTCTTTCTTTTCTTTCTTTCTTTCTTTCTTTTTTTTTTTCAAGATAGGGTTTCTCTGTGTAGTCCTGGCTGTCCTGGAACTCACTCTGGATACCAGGCTGGCCTCAAACTCACAGAGATCGGCCTGCCTCTGCCTCCTGAGTGCTGGGATTAAAGGTGTGTCTCACCACTGCCTGTCTTTCTCCTTTATTTCTAATTCATATTTTTTCCTCAAAAATGAACCCCCATTCCTATTTTTCTTTTATCTTTCCACTCTACCAATGAGCTACTAGGCAAATTCTTAGGAACCTTTTGCACGTTATAACTGAAATCACATTTCTAAGAAAACAAAAACAAATTTATCTATAGTTGATTAAAACTGAAGTTGATGGGCAGTGGTAGCCCATCAACTTCTAAACAAAACAAAACAACCCAATCCCAAAAGGCAAAAACTGAAGTTGTATGCCCAGTTCCTTGCAGATTCTTGGCTTCTGTTGATTTATGGACACACTACATGGCTCTACTAACCTGGCAACATGTGGCAAACTGTGACTGCAGTGTTAAGAGTCACAGTACACTTGACTTCTTCATCACCTGACTCTTATTCAGGACTCTACTCAGGACCTTCTGGGTATTCAGTCCAGTGAGCATTCCTACATCCTTCCAACTGATACCCAGATGTTAGTAGTGCCTCACTATTGTGCAGGCTGCATCCAACTACAACAGAGAGGGCCAGGAACTGCTGTATTCATCTTTGGTTTTCCTGTGTACACATGTCTCTGCTCGGCTGGCAATCAGGCCTTCTTCGTGGAGTAGTATGATGTCTGACAATGGTACAAATGCTCCCATCTAGTGTTAGTTATTACTCCAAGCTCACTGTTGGCTACAGGAAACTTTAAAATGTCTTGTGATATGTGCTGATAATATGGAAAAATTCATGTCAAAATAAGCTTTCCTATTTACCAAGAATTTTCTAGCCTATTGCTGTTTACTGTTTGTAGTACTCCTGCCTTTAAAAACTGATTTTATGAGGCCAATTTTCAACTATGATTTGAGCTTCTTTGGAATGAAGTCAGAAAAGGTCACTTTTTTTATTGTGTATTTATGTGTGTGTGTAAAATTCAGCACCAAGACTGTCAGTTACTAAGACAAAAGCAGAGCACCAAGGGGAACTTTCTAAAGCTAAGAATAATAAAATCTTATAAATGACCTGCTGATTATACTCAGGAGCCATCGTATTAATGGCAATTCTGCTGTAAAACTAAGGTGGAATGCTCCTTAAATTTAGTTTCTTTTCTTCTAATATCTTTTGGTCTTTTTAATAATAGCTATAATTACAATTATAATTCCAAACTTTCTTGGTTTTGAGATAGGATCTTCTTCTGTATCTCAGGCTGGTTTTGAACTTGCAGGCTCCTGAGTACTGAGATTATAGTTGTGACAACTGCCCTAGCTTAATGTCAAACAAACTCTTTCTGAGTACTATACTTGGACTGTGTGTGCATATGCATGTGTATACACATGTATGTGGTCTATGTACACTCTCCGGTGGGTACACATGAATGCGCACACATGCCTGTGGGGGCCAGAGATGCTTTCCCCACTCTTTATTTGCCAATCATTTGCACTGCAGGTACTTTTTAACAGCTGAGCCTTCTTCCCAGCCTAGGATTGGCCTCTAGAGCTCAAGGCTCACAGGAACTGGTATACTACTTATTGTTTGGTTCCACCCCCACATCCTCCTATTTAGAACCTTCAAGCATTAAGAGTCAATAAATAGCAGCTCTGAAATAATGTAGGACCACAGCAATCAGGAGACGCTCTCAGAGGCAAACAGATTTCTTGAAACAGTTCTTAAGCAAACAAACTCCAACTTAAATGAAATGGGTATTGCACCAGAAGCACAGGCTCTAGTGGAGACTTTGGGCAAGTATGCCAGCATCCTGGAAAGCCAAGAGATAGCAGGATCAGAAGAGAAAACACCAGTGCATCTAAAATCTACTCCATGGCTTTCATTGAGGGCCATGGGTTCCAGCTTTGGAACCAACTACCAACTCTGCTGTGGTGTGAAAGGAGTTTGTCTTCCAAAACATCATGTTTTAAGAGCCTGAATGGTATGGGAGGTGGTGGTGCACCTCTGTGTGGGACTCAGGCTCATGGGAAGTGTGCCCTCAGAAGGGACTATGAGATGCCAGTCTCTCTCTGGCTTCCCGATTCCAACGCTCCCTCCAGGAATGCTGGTCACCATGGGACATCTGCTCTGAGGTCTTCACCAGCAGCAGTGCTAAAAGCTCACAGCTCTCTGAGGCTCCAGAACTGTGAGCTAGCTAAATATCTCTTTTCTGAAGTTAGTTTGCCTCAGGCACTCTATTCCAGTGATGAAAAACATAGACTACCACAGCTTCTAAAGGCCCCCTTCATCTTATTTATTTATTTTTGGAACTCATTAGACAGAATACTGCTGATATAAAACTTTCGGGTCTGCTAGTTTGGTTGAGGTCTCATGAAATTTGAGGCAGAAAAATTTCTTTCAAGCAAGATCAATGAGAACATGGGATGGGCTGGCCTGCATGGTGCTGCCAAAAGAACAACTGCATAGGCAAAGACTAACAGGAAAAAAGGCATCCTAACACCACCACTGTGTTAATATGAACTTCTGCTCTGAGGCCTCTGACCATTTGATGCTTCGTCCACTTTCTCATTCATTCTCCACTCTCAGTTCTTGCTTTTATCTTTACTTCATTATAGAAGTGACTAAAAATCACCCCAAAACTAAGTAGTATGGTGTTAATGAAAAGTACTACGTTTGAACAGAAACCTGTATAAACATAAAAGTTATAAACTCAGCTAATGGGTCAAAATGTATGGTGAAGAGCTTGCCACTCAAGTAGGAAGGTATGAGACCCCGCATAAAAATATCAGATGTGGTGGCAAGGGTGTATTTCCAATGCTGTGGAGATAGAGACAGGAGAAGCTTGGGTTTTCTGGACAGCCAGCAATGGAATGAATTCCAGACAAGGAGAGACCAATCTCAAACGGGACGTGGTTCTGAGGATGGCATCCAAGGGTGTCCTCTGGCCTCTATTCGTATCACACACATGTACAAACACAAGGCTCAGGGGTCATTGTGGAAGAGGGGTTGCAGTTATGTTTCTGGATATGGGGGGGGTTGCATATATGAGCTCACTACAGCTTGACTGCATACATCAGATCTCCTTAAGATCAAGCTAGACAAAATTTAAGCATGGTAGGAGAGGAAGCCAAGATGTCCTATCCCTAGCTTAGGAGCTATTGACAATTAAGGGCCACTGAGGGAGGAAGAGTCATTTTTCTTCAGGGATGTGGTCTCTGAGAAGCTACCCATGCTCCAGTAGTGACTCCACAGTCATGAACAAACATGGGCTGCATTAAGTGGATTCAGTGTTTAAAAAAAAAAAAAAGAATCAAAAAACAAAACATGAAATTGTGAGGAAATGGCAGTGGTAGGGGGACAGGAGATGAATCAGAAGAGATGAAATGGTGTGTGAGCCTGATCATTTACTTTTTAAAAATGTAAATAAAAAATTAAATACACACATGTAACTTAATGGGGGATGATGGGAAAACAAAGGGAATGGAGAATGATTAGAGCTCATTTTGTAGATTCCCCAGTGTACAGAGTCTTAGAGACAAAGGCCCAGAATTGAGCAATGTGTCTACCTTCCAGACAGTGTCCTCACTGGCTAGCTAGTTTTTATGTCAACACAACACAAGGTGGGTCATCTGGGAGGGAGGAATCGTAATAGAGAAAATGTCCCCATCAGACTGGCCTGTGGGCAAGCCTGTGTGATAACTGATATGGGTGGACCCTGTCCAATGTGGGAGATGGCACTCATGGGCAGGTTGCCCCCGGGTATATAAGAAAGCAGGCTGAATAAGTCATGAGGAGCAAGCTAGTAGGCAGCATCAGTTCCTGCCTCTGGGTCCTTCCCTGACTTCTTTTAATGATGGACCATTACCTGGAAATGTAGATGGAAAAAACCCTTTCTACCCCAGGTTGCTTTTGGCCATTATGTTTATCCCAGGGGTAGAAACCCTAGCTAACACACTTACTGTCCAGAGATTTCTTTTTTTTTTTCCTTTTAGTCTTAAAGGAAGACAGACCTACTTAATACTTATTAAGATCTCTCCTTAGGGCAGCAGATCTGTGGATCATAGCACCTTTGGTGGTTGAACAACCCTTTCACAGAGGTCACCTAAAACCATCTGCATATCAGATATTTATATTACGATTCCGTAATTTATGAAGTAGCAACATAAATAATTTTATGGTTGGGGGTCACCACAACAGTGAAGAATATCATTAAAGGTTCTCATTATTAGGAAGGTTGAGAACCACTGCATTAGGGAGTTTTCTCTACTCCATGTTAAGGAGGCTGTTGTGATGTTAGGACAGGTCAGAGAACAGGTGGCTATCAAATGCTGCGATGGAACAAGCGTTTGTTCCTGTGGTACATCGTTTAGAACGTCCATGTCACAGCAATGGCCTTGTGCTGTCTCAGTCCACTCAACACAAACTTCTGAGATGGGAAAGAATGAGCACACACTCCTCAGCTTTTCCAAGCAAGCACAAGAGACAGCACTTCCTAATTCACCCGGCAAGTCCACATATCTCATTCCAAGACCAGCTGAACACGAGATAAAGAAAATCAGACACCAAAGGACGCTTAGGGATACAAATGTAAAAATCCTTAGTAAAATGGTAGCAAACTGACTCTACCAACATATAAAAAACATCACATACAATTATCAAGTAGAATTGACCTCAGAAATGCAAAATTAGTTTACTATGAAAACCAATACTGTATTAATAGTGTCAAATGGTTTAGAAGAACCATGCAGCAAAATCCTACAGTCCTTCAAAATCAAAGCACTTAATGAACTAGAACTCAAAGGGACCTTCCTTAGTGTGATAAAGTCACATGCTTTCCCACTAGGACCATGAACAAGACAAGTAAGATGTTCACTCTAATTTCCTATTCACCTTGCTGGAGGTTCTGGACCACATAATCAGGCAAAAGAAAGAAATAATGAACATCTGACTAAATGGAAGAAGTAAAACTGCAGATGACACTAAACACGGGACAGTTAATACTTCTGTTTTTATTCCATTATAACTAGTGCTAAATATGTACTAACAATTATAACTATTAGTTCTAAAAGTTTCAGGGTACCAGATGAATGTTATACAACTATTGAGCTCTAACTATGAAGTTGAAGGACATCAGATCACTAAGGAGTGACTTGTAATTTGATACACTAGCAGTAAACAGTCTAAAAACAAAATAATAGCATCAAAAGGAATAAAATAGACTCCAAATGCTGCAAGACACTGAACGCAGTAAAGTGCTACTTACTGGAAGAGAGTAAAGATCTACCTAAGTAAAAAGCTATAACACACTCCAGGTTTAGGATGTCATATTGTTTAAAGACAGCTCTCTTCAAAGTGACCCATGGATACAATACCTATGAGAACCCCAGCTTGCTTTCTGTCAGAAACTGGCAAACCGATCATAAAATTCATATGGAAACCCAAGGGACCCAGAATAGCAGAAGCAATCTTGAAACAGTACAAAGCTGAAAGGTTTATGCCTCCTGATTACAAGATAGAATTAGCGATGGCTATATGTGAATATGCCAGGTGAGGTAGGTATAAATCTAGCCACTGAGAAGTCGAAGCAGGTGGTCATCCTAGGCTAGTCAGTAAGTTCCAAGCCAGCCTGGGCTACATGAGACCTGGTCAAAACCAAAACAAGACTGTGTAGTAGTAGTACAGTGGTATACATTGACCAAAGGGATAGAGATGGGAGTCCAGAAAAATACTTTCACATTTACAATCAACTGAGATTGTGATGACATATCTGAATAAACGTAAGCATAGCAAGACTGCTGAGTTACTCAGTCAATAGGGGAACCATGCTGTGTGCCTGTGTCAGCAAAGGTCTTGTTTTGCTTCCTCTTTAAAAGTCAGAGAGTCATAGCGGCATTTATTTTAAGTTGTCAAGGATCCTTAAAGGTCAGTGCCATGGAAAAATTCTGATTAAAAACAGTAAGCATTGGAACAGTATTTGAATGAAGCATTGGAACAGTATTTGAATGAAGCTGATCATACAGCAGTCTGCTCTTATTGTTAGTTGAAATAAGAAGGGAGAGCTGAGACCTATATTCACATAACGTGAGAATTCACAATTTAAGTAGAAAATACACAGGGTGTGATTTTCACATTAAGGTTTTATGAAATGACCAACTGTGTGGTTTTCTTTTAAAACTTTAGGAGTCTATGCAAAGCCTAGACTGACACTGCTTATGGCTTGCGATTTTCTGTTTACTTTAGAATTAATAGTCCAAGGAAATCACTAAAATTAGAATTTATGAGATCCAAGACAGTCAGTCCATTGAGTAGCAAGACTATTACTCTAAAGATTGACCATCCATTTATCTAGACTAAGTTGTTAATGTTTCTTTAGGGGATGTATAAAAAGCAAATTCACACTCATAGGATAATTATAATTACTAGAAACAGTTGAGACTATCTGGAAAAATGTGTTAAGAATTGGTCTAAAAGTGTTGATATAATTAACTTTTTCTTTTACTTTCTATAGCTAACAGTTTAAAGAGTTTATAAATGAAAATGCTCCCAGGTTTTCAAGTCAGGGGGCTTCCTGCTGGAATCACAGGGTAAGCTCTTCTTTTGCAACTTTACAACTGTGGCCACCTTAACTTATGATCCCTCATTTTAAACCCAAACCCAGACTCCTTCTTTTTCCCCTCTAGTGCATTAGCCAGAGACCTGGGACAATGTCCCTGGCCTCCTCCTGGATCACAGAACAGACCAACTTCATCCTTGACTCAGGCTCTGCACTCCCTATTTCCTGCTCCTGGAGCACTCTTTCTGCTGTTGTGTGGCTGTTTCTTGAGATCTTGATCTCAGAGTAGATGCCTTTCTTCAGAGAGGATCCCTCACACTACAGTATCCACTAGATCCCACTGTTTCATGTCTGTCAAGAAGTTGTCTCCAGGATAGGCAGTAGCATCAGCAGTCAGAATCAACACGATTTTCACAGTGCCTAACACAGGCCTCATTCCCCTAGAATGAACTAGCAACAACTGTACTAGATATCACTAAAATCATTAAAGCCTGAACATTTCCAAGTCTATTAAAGTAGATTTCAAAAGTTGCTATAATGTATCTTTTTAGGGATATAAACAAACTTCTCTTCCAGATAGGGCATTGGCAATAGAACTGGCAATACACCAAAGAAATGACTGTTAGTCTGGCTTAGTGAACTAGTAAATTCATTTGTGTGACTTATAGGAGTGTGGTTGACTGATTGAAAGACAGTTATAAGAAGCCCACATTAGCAGGTGACAGTACACAAACCTGCATCCCTGGAGCTCTTTGCACAGCTGGCAGGCAGCTCAGCCATCCATAAACTTTCTTTTCCCAGCAACTGTCATCACCTTGGGGGAGGGCCTTGTCACTCCTAAGCTTGTGGAGCTTCCTGTGTCTTATAAACTCAATTTGCTTACTGAATATTAAACCTTCTCTCCTTCCTCCCGAAGGGCATGTTTTATTTAGTTCAGAAGAAACAGCTACATAACACCAGCTGAAGGAAGTTTTCTTAAAGAGAAGAAAACTGGCAAGCCCTGTAACTCAATGTTAATTAAGCCCTTGAGTATAAAAATAAACAACATAGATCATGTGAAAAAAGACACTACATTCTTATGCCATAGAACATGGAGAAACCTAGCTGGCATTCAACTAGAAGTTTTATTCCTATTGACTAGCATTTACAGTGTAGGAAGATGCTATATATGCTACCAGAAGAGAAAGAAATCAATCTTACCCTCTTTGAATTCTGTGAGCTACAACAGTGACCTGGCTGCAACACATGCTCAGTGGTTCAACATCAATAGTAGTGTGAATGTTATAGGAGTAACCAACTGCTTTTTTCTTTTTGGGGGAGGGATTTTAGATAGTCCATGAGGTGGAACCCATACTTGACACTGTCAACAAGACTAAGGACCTAAGGCTAAAGAGGTCATGGGCCATAGAGGAAAACCTGTTACTATTATCCTGCTAAATTCCATAGCAGTAAAATTACTCTCAATAACATATTGATTATACCCATTAGATTATACCCATAGATGCTCAACTCTCATCAGGGAAGTTTCTTCTTGCAGTAGAAACCCACAACTGGTCAGTATGTAGAGAAAGAGACTTTGGAATACTCAGCCCTAAATGTGATGTCTATATCTATATCCTTCCCTCAAGGATCAGTGATCTACACAGAAAGACTGTAAGAGCCAGAGGTGGTGGTGACTTCAAGGCAACATTGTTCTCCAGACACAACAGGGCAGATGCACAAGTGAACTCACAGTGGTTGTGACAGCATGCACAACACTTGCACAAGCTTAAGCCAGACAAAATCCTAGCATGAGGAGTGTGTACAAATCCACCCTTAACCAAGGAGCTATTGGCTACTATTTCCCTAGTAGAGGGAAAATTAGTTTTCTACAATAGAGTGACAATGTTTATCAGCCATACTCTAGGGCATGCCCCATGTTCAGGAGTAGTCAGCCAATGCAGACTAGACTCTGTGTTCTTTTGGCTTTTGTTCTTAAAGACAGAGAGAGAACATAACCTGGAAGAAGGTGAGGGAGGGTAATGAATATGATCCAAATATAGCGCTATGAATTTTCAAAGAATAAATAAAAATACTATTTAAAAAAGTATTTTTCTATACATTGCTACTTCAAATCAAATCTGAAAAAAGTTACCCTGTAATTCTTTTCCTCTTGGCCGGGCATTGGTGGCGCACGCCTTTAATCCCAGCACTCGGGAGGCAGAGGCAGACTCAGGCGGATCTCTGTGAGTTCGAGGCCAGCCTGGTCTACAGAGAGAGTTCCAGGACAATCTCCAAAGCAATACAGAGAAACCCTGTCTTGAAAAAACCCCCAAAACCCAAACCAAACCAAAACAAAAAATCTTTACCTCTTTCTATTCTTAGTTTTTTATTTAATAGTCAAGTCATGGGTTCTGTTGTATTAATTTTCATACACGTATATCATTGTACTTTGTCCTTACTTGCTCCCCTTTCTTCTGTAATTAGTCTCTAAAGTGCTTCTGACTAGTTAATAATTGTAGTACTTACTCTGGGAGAAGTTTATATTTCTCCAAATCAATTTCTGGGAAGAACGTGTCACTTTCAAATTCCTGCATGATCCTTGTCACAAAGAGTCTGAGATGGCCTGGCTGATTCATGGCTTCCTTTAAAATAAAATAGAAGGTATCACTCTCCTTAACCCATGTTGAAAGACAAAGAGACTAGAAGATTCTTGTTTTAATTAAGTTTGTACTAGGCATTAAATCCATGCTTACTGTTGCTCAAACAATAGAAAGTATTTTGAAAAAAGATTTGTTTATGTTTTCTTCATATTCTATCTCTTTGTAGATATTATATCTTTTTGTCTGGTTATGTGTATTGGGTACAGGTACCTGTGGGAGCCCGAGGAGCTAGAGTTACAAGCAGTTATGAACCACCTGATGTGGCTGCGGCAAACTGAATTCCAGTCCTTTGAAAAAAGCAGCAAGTGCTCTTAACCACTGCACCATCTCTCCGGCTCCCTCACACTTACGATATACAACCTTTATTGTAAAGCTTCTGTTGCCTTGAGAATGGCAGCTAGTCATAACTAGTAATTATGAAAAATACATTCTGGTCTTTAGTTTATTGAAAAGTTCTTACAGTTAGGCCCTTTTAAGGCTTCACTCCTCATGACATAGTTGCTTTTCCAAAGAGAAGTCTGCATCTGTGTATTTGAATAAGAAAGTGAAATCTTCACTGTTGAAAACACCATGGGAACATTTAGGATACCATTTCTATAAAAGAGTTAATTTGTTCATTTACTTTTATGTGTGTCTATGTGGGTACATGAACCTGTATGTGCACAGGCCAGAAGGCACAAAATCACTCAGAGTTGGAACTGAGAAAGTTCACAGGATGCCCTTTTTGCTTTTATGTGGGTGCTAGGATCTGAATCCTGGTCCTAATAACTGTGTAGCAAGAGCTTAACTGTTGAGCCATGTCTCCTACCCCATCAGTACACCTATTACTCTGTCATTACCTAAAAATGCCCCCATTTCTCTGTAAGCAGGGAAATCATCTTGCCTCTTGTTGCTAATAATGGCACTCAGCCTGTTTTGGTTAATAGCTCTCCAAGCCAGTGTCTACAATGTTAATTTTATTATTAATGTTGTTTTATTATAATCAATGTTAATTTCATTAATAATGCTATTATAATTAGTGTTAATTTTATAATTAAAATTAGTTATATAATTTATAACTAACAATGTACAGTGACACTGTGTTTATCAACCATACCCCAGGGTAGGCTCCATGTTCAGGAGTCGCCTTGGAAGAAACAGCTTATATTTTTAATGGAAAGGATAACTCCTAAATGCAGATCCAAGAAAGCATTAGTAACTATTTTAAAACACACAGAGGAAGAAAAAACTATTCACGTATATAAAATATCAAGCTGTTATTCTTAACTTCCAAATACTAGCATAGAAAACTTTTTCCCTTCAGTATTTCAGTTCTTGTTAACTCATTTATTATCACTGCTGCAACCAAATAAATATTTGACTAGTTGCCACTGTAGACCAAACCAGACAAGCTGACAGGGACTAACCACACTCTCTGTCAAGCATGAAAGCTGTCAGTCAAGGCCCATATGATGAGTACTCAGGCTTGGAGGGCCACAGGCTTCTTACTCTTACAGCAACAGCAGCCACGGACAGCACAGAAATGAACATGGCTATGCTCCACTTCAGCAGCTGGCATGGGAGGACTGGCCGAAAGCACAACATTCAAGATGGTTAACTGCAGGCCTTTACTTCCTTGATATAGATCTAATTATGTAAGTGCATTTAGTAGTTAGTGTTTACAGAACATATTTTAATATGAGACAATGTTACAGAAACAGGAATGTGAGACAAGGAGTGTTTATAATCAGCTCAGGAAGCTGCAATTCTTCTTTCTCAATTTCTCCAAAGGAGCAGGGCTGATTTTTCTTCTTCATAAATGTTAATCTTTCCAAAGAATATCCAAACAAACAAACTGGAAGTCCTTTGGTACCAAATGACACCAGAAAAAGAGTATTTTCTGCTTTACACACTATTTTCCACTATGGTATGAACCATGCCATCCTCCTCTGCCCTGACACTGCAGGGGGATTGCTGAGGAAGAGCTTTCCATCTGATGGCCTGTGCTGCCCAAGAGCCCATGCTCTTCTGGGCACAGAATTTCTCCTGGAGCCAAAGGCACAGCAGCCCACCTAGGGCACATCTGGGGATGAGGAAGTCATACCATATGAACACTATGCTCAAGGAAGTAGACTGGCCTTTAACTGGAAACAACCAGTATTTTGAATGGAGAATGACTGCATGTAGGAAGCTCTTGGCCAAAGAACAAAGGAAGACCAAGCTTTAGGGATCCACTGAGCTGCACGGTGACTGTGGTTAGGGATAATGTCTTACTGTGCTCTTGGGATCGCTGGGAGTTGATTTCAAGTTTTCTCATTACCAAATATAAGCCAGGTGATAAACCTCAATTTAACCATTCTAAAAATGCATGTTTCAGACCATCTGATTATTTGCCAATTTAAAAATAGATTTAAAAATAAGGCACTGAAGTTGATGGGAGCTGGTGAGTTGGGGTAGGGTGTTTGGGAAGAGGAAGTGGCAGTGGGAGGGGTGAATATGACTAAAGCACATGAAATATGTCACATCATAATGAAATATGATTTTATACATAAAACAAAAAGAATAGACTGGTATAAACTATAAATTTTACATTTATGTTTGTATTTATTTTGCATGACAGTGTCAAATAATTCACTTTGACAACTGTGTAGTTCACAGCTGGGATAATGTGCTGCTTCCTGTGGTCATGACTAGAAGCAGGGAATTTTTTCTACTTGCACATGACTCTACTTACCTTGTAAACGGAACTGCCTCCAACTATCCAAACCATGTCCACTTTATCTGCTAACTCTGGTTGTTCAATAAGTTTTAAGGCATCGTCCAGACTTTTGGCAAGAAAATGAGCTCCTTGTGGTGGTTCCCTGAAAAAAGAATTATGATTATTGCAAAATCCTGTCCATACTAGTCAGGTAATCTGACTAGCCAGCAGTCAGTACAAAACAAATTATGAAAACCAATTCTTTTAACACAAAGTATTTAGATGGTGGCCAATGTCCAATATCCACTCCATATTTCATACTCGATTGGTACTTGCAAATCAAAACACAAAGCCGTATGTGACATCTCATTGTATCTATAGTGGAAAACAACTTCAATAGTAGTTGTACATGATGTGGTGTGATGAAAGTTGCCTGGAATGGAGAATGAGGAACTTTCTGGAGGGCTAATAGGGTTAAGTTATGTAGGTCTAAGTCTTTGTCAACACTTAGCTAATGTGCACTTATGACCTGTGCATCTTATTGTATTAACGTTTACCACAACATCATGCTGGAGCAACACAGAATTCTAGCTAACGATACACAGGAAGCATTTTGGGAAATATCCTTATTCTGCCCTTTACTTTCAAATGTACAAGCATCAGCAACTGGATAGATGATGACAGTGACAAAACCAACACAGTAAAAACTTAGGGCAGAATCCAGGTGGTGGGTACACAGCTGTTTAATGTATAATTCTTTCTGTCAGTCTGAAAACTGCTGAGATTAAATATTAGACAGAGAATATCCAAATGACTAGAAAAAAATTGAAGCAGCGTTCAGACTGTTAATGTATATGGGGAAAGAACTTTCATATTTTGGACAACACAGAAAGGACAGAAAGTATTTGAGAATGAGCTTGTCACCAGTTACATAATTAATACTCAGAGAGGAAAAAGTTAAATTCACTGCTTATGCTGACTAGCTCAAAATTTGGGACTCTTATTATTTTGATGGTGAGGGGAGCTACAATTCCCTTTTAAATGAGGGAACATATACAGTGATTAGAAACAGAACAGAAATTATTAATTCAATGTCTTAGCTGGTGCTTTAAAAGGACTGCTTACATAATTGTTTTGAACTTGTAGTTTAACAATGATTAATCAAGAACTAATGGAGACTATTCATCTTCCTAGTGGCATTCTCCTTCTCTTCCTGATTTCTATTTTACTCTTCTCACTCTTTGTCATAAGTAAGGGAACTAGGATAGAATAAAGAATACATTTGGATTTATGCTGAGAAAAACAAAAAAACCAACAACAAAAAAACGGAGGCCAAGGTAAGTTAAATGAGCTGGGCTACCACCAAAGGTCTGAGGGTAATTTCAGGGACAAGACAGGATATGATGGTGTTGAAGGACAGAATAGGAACTAGAAGAAATAAGGATACAGTTATGGAGGATGATCCGGTTAATAAATGGTCTCTGACTGGACTGGTCAGTGGTCTAACAGAATGCTGAAGTTAGGATGGTTATTGGAGATGAAATAGACCTGAAGATGGTGATTAAGGGGCTGATGCACACAATCTGAGAGCAGGAACTGGAAAGCTGAGAGCAACGTCTCCAGGGTGACAGGAATGCTTGTGTGCTTGGCATGCCCGCGGCCCTGGGTTTGATCCCCAGCACACAGGGAACTAGGAAGAAATCATCGGTGAAGTCCTGAACTCAAGAGTAAGGGAGCCCACTGCTTGAGAAGACCTTCTTTCTCTACACTTTTCCCCGGAACCTTCTATAGGGTCCAGAGTCTGATTTACAGTCACTCACAGCTGAATAGCTTTTATGCTCTTTTTAAGAAGGGGGTCCATGTAGAAAGAAAATATAATGCCTTCTAGTAACCTCTGGGTACTTGATTAATTTATCCCATCTAAAGACTGAACAAACTCAAGTCCTTTACCTCCAAAACAACTCCTCCACGACTGCTCCAAAGCAGAGTAGTTCTGATGTCTTCCTCATTCCTTGTGCTTTTCTAGGAGTTTGAGTAACCATCCATTGACAATCTTATGCACAGGTAGGTAGGTTTCTTAAACACAACTGACCTATCCAGGTTATCACAGTCAGTTCTTCATTTGAAGAAGGACTCTTTTCTTTCTTTGGGTCACTCTAGCTCTTTATTTCAGGACATTTACTTGGTTATCATGGACTTCAAAGAAAAGGGCAATAACATGAATTCTGTATCAGGAATTGTGTGGACATAGTTGGAGAGTCTTGAATTCCCTCAGAGAATTGAGAGGATTAAGAGAAACAATGTGTTAAGTAGATGCTCCATTTAGAAACAATGTCTAAGTAGGCCGTCCATTTAGCCATAGATGTAGCTACTAGACCACAATCTAGTTTCTAATATACCAAGTGGGGGAAAATAGACACTATTTTTAAATTTCTAATAAACAAAGTAGAATCACCAGCACTCGGGAGGCAGAGGAAGGCGATCTCTTTGAGTCCTAGATCAGCCTGGTCTACAAGATCTAGTTCTAGGACAGGCTCCAAAGCTACACAGAGAAACCCTATCTCAAAAAGCAAAGCAAAGCAAAACAAACAAAAAACCAAAGTAGAATCAGTACAGTGACCCCATGAAGATTTCTCAACTTCTTTCTAGGCTGTCAATAGAGATTTAAAAACCAGCAGTCTTTCTACCTAGAGGGTTAAGAGGGTAATCAGAGACATGCCTCAGCAGTGGCCCAACAGCATGAAAGCAGAATAATACCAAGCCAAGCAGAGGATCTAACTCCAGGCATACTGCATAAGTTGTGGTGGGGCAATGGTGGTGTGTGACTCCTTAGCTGAGTGTCAACAGTGGTGAAAACATGCCCCGAATCGTGGAAATGGTATGCTTCCTTAGAAATTGTTGTAGGCTACAGTGAAGTTATTCAACACATGGAAACTCAGAGAAAGTTGAGGGTAGGAAAACAGTAACTTGAAGTGAGGTTCAAAATGAGGACAATACGGTAGTCTCTGGTCACCTGGAGTAAAGGAGAGGGTATGAGTTGATTTAGGTACGAGAGATTTATTTATGTCTTAGGATTCAAGAAATGAAAAGATAAAGTGATTTGCCAAGGTGAAAAATGAGATTATAAGCTTATTCTCTATGATCCCTTTAATGTTAAAAGACAAAAGATTTATGTAGCATGAAGAAAAATCAAATACCATTAATGTTCATTTTTATGGAGCTCGATCTTGAACTCGGAGCCTATGCTCCTTCCCCAGCTCCTAATATAAACATTTTCTTTATGCTACAGGGTAGTGAGGTTAGGGGACAGGGTAGGAGCTGGTATCTGCCGAATACTGTGCTGGATCATTTCTTCTAATTGTGACAAAAAACTTGAACAAATCAACTTAAGGCTGGAGTGATTTAGTTTGGCCACAGCTTTGACCACTAGCTCTCGTGGCTTTAGGCCTGAGGTAAGGAAGAGCAACCATGTCAGGAAATGTAGTAAAGCAATAAGACTCATTCCACAGCAGAGAGGGAGTAGATTTCTTTCCAAAGCTATCCTTTAAATGACCCATTTTCTTCAGCAAGGCACCATTTCCTAATATTTAGCCGCGAACTTATCTATCAACCCATTGATGAAGTTAGTTTGAACCCTCATATCCAATCACTCCCCCAAAAGCCTATCAGCTGGTAACTAAGCTCTTTACATAGGAGGTTTCTGGGGACATTTAAAACTGCAAACCCTAACAGGCACCTTTTGTGAGTCAGAAACTTAACATACAAAATTCAATGAACCCTGAAACACCATCCAAAAAGATACTATTATTACTTTCATTTAGTAGGTAATACAGCTGAGGTTCAGCAAGCTTCACTCCATGACCTGTCTAAGTCCTAAAGCTACTTGGAGCCAGAGCAGGGAGGGAGGTCCACTAAGTCAGTGCTTAATGGACTGCCTGTGTGGATCAGAGGGAAAGGCCCTAAGAAGAGGAAATTGCTATCACTAGAAAGAATATGGTAGAGGAATCGTAAAAAAATTATTACTCCACTAAATTTAGAATAGCTTTTATGGAGATAATTTGCAGTATGCCTTATCACAGCAATTGGGATCTCCCATTGATAAATCTCAAGGATACAGATTTGATATAAAGCTTTGCTTAATTTTTTGTTACAAAAGGCATTCACTTACTCATATATATGTCTTTTGCTGTTATTTTTTTGAGATAGGGTTTTACTCTATAGTCCAGCATGACCCTAATCTCAAGAGCTTCATGGCAAAGCCTTGTTATAGCATTACATGTGTGTGCCACCATGTTCTACCCTACTAAAAGCTTTAAATATCACCTTCCCCAAATAAATTAATGCATGCATTCTTCTAAGGCATACAAATCAGTGACTTCTGGTGTGGTTGGTATCATGCAATCATTACCACTGTCTCCTACTTGTTAGCAGGTCTCATTAGCTCCCATTTCAGTTCTACTAAAGTACAACCTTACCACCTAGAAAGCTGTACAAAAAGTATGCCCTCTTCAGACCTTAGTGATTTTGGGGTTACCTTGATGATTCCCATATGGGGTTAGTGGCTCAAATCCCAAGTACCAGGAAAAGCCTGCATAAACAACTGCCACCTGTAATGCCTGTCCTGTAATATAGGACACAGCAGTGCCTGGTACACAGTAGGTGTTCTAAATTTACATAAAGTGACAATCAAGTGGAGAGGCCAGAGACTGAAGAAAAAAAATGGATCCTAATAAAATCTTTCACTAACTGATATTCCAACTTCTCTAGCCTGCTTGTTAATAAACTCTTTCCAGCCTTACCCCCCCCCCCCCCAAAAAAAAGCAAAGCACTCCACTTAATGTTATATACAAATACATGAAAAGCAACACAATCCAATTACATCTGCCATAGGGGGGGTCATAAAGAAGAAATTAGACTCATCATTTGAGAAGAAATGCTAGCTCAATTGAACATGCCCCCCACTGAGAGTTCTTTATGCTTATTTTAGCTCAAGCTGGCCATAAATAAACTTGAATAGTATTCAAGAATATGTTATTAAAAAGTCTCTGGGAAGGCAATATAGCCTGCGAATGTGTAATTTTTCAAGGAGAGTGATCATCAGAATATCCTAGCAACCAGGACAAGGAGCAGCATAAAGATGGAGGCAGATGGCAAGAGGCACATCACATAATCCCCATCACTATAGGCAACCAATGCAAATGTTTGTGTACTTTCATCTAGTTCTTAACCTATGCCAATATAAGAGGGGTGTGGGAGAAACCCTACATAAAAATCTCTTAGCATATAGCTATGGAGAGTGTTTTCCCTCCCAGGGCTGGGCTGATTTCCCTTCACTCAGATACTTGTATCTTATAGATGTAATGACATCTACGAGTTGACTTTGGTGCATGCTTTAATTCCAGCACTCGGGAGGCACAGACAGGTGGATCTCTGATTTGAGGCCAACCTGGTGAGTTCTAGGATGCCCATGGCTACATAGAGAAACCTTGTTTCAAAACTCCAAATACTAGAGCTGAGACTTCTCAGAAGCAACCTGAGCACCTCCTGGGAAATCCTAGCTTGCTTTTCCTTGTGGTGATATCTTGCTTGTACAAATAAAGCCTGTCTGAAGATCAGAGGATAGAGCTTGCCACTTAGCTAACCACAGAGGTCAGGAAATCTGTACAGACAGACAGGAAGTGAGACGGCTGGGTGGAGAGAAGATATAAGTGAGAAGAAATAGGAACTTGCTCTCTTTTCTGCTGGGAAGCTAATGAGGTAAAGGTGGCTTTGGCTTGCTCCTTCTTCTCTCTGATCTCTCAGCATTTTCCTCTATATCTGACTCCGGGTTTTTATTATTTAGGCCAATTAAGAACCCCAATTACATTTTGGTGCCCAACATGGGCAGTTTGCTTTCTGAATTTTGGATTCATGTAACTACACCTCATTACCATGAAAGCTAATTCCCCACATCAAAGTTCTTACCCAACTATAGCTTGTACTGCATCTGCTTCTCTGGTTGGACCCTGAACATATGGGAGTGACATTCTTTTCTCTTTAAATTTAATTAATTTTAATTTTTAATTTGGGAGTGACATTCTTGACTACCATTCAAGCCAACAGTGCCCGATGCTCTAAGGTGCTGTGTTATTTTTGGTGACTACATATTAATTTAAGTAAGAATAGTCAACGTCTTGAATACTAACATTTCCTTAGATTTTAGTCACCTGCTGACCAAAAAAAATCCAAACTAAAACAATAGCAAAGTTATCATCATGGTCAAACTACTGGACTTAAATTCATAGTCAATCGTATCTACCTACCCCACCACCTCCAGACCTTTTTTTTTCCCTCCAAATAAGCCTGGTGTCCTTGGAGGCCAGAAGGCATCAAATCCCCTTGGATTGGAGTTATAGCAGGTTGTGAACTGCCATGTGGATGCTGGGAATCGAACTCAGGCCCTCTAGAAGAGTAGCTAGTATTCTTAACCATTGAGCCATCTCTCCAGCCCCAGCTACCTCCAATTCTTAGGACATTTCCAGTCATAATAAAGGAATTATCTATTCAAATGTTAGTTTGGAGGACAAGAAAATTCTTAGCACAAGTCAACTACCGACATTCCCTTCTTCTGAAAGTTCCTAGACCACTTCAATACTTTGAAATATTTTACCTTCTGACACTGTATAAAGAACACAAAGTGTCAGGGTGTTGTGACTAAGTAGAGATGACCATGATCAACTGGAGTACATGACCATGACTGCAAGTCCTTCATATCTTACTGCATTTAGAGTTGATTCCAAAAATGAAACAAGCATTTAAATTTGCTGAAATGCAAAACAGGCATTTTTACTTTCTGTGAAACTAGAAACAACTTATCAATCATACTAAAAAACTGATAGCTAGCCAGGCGCTGGTGGCGATGCCTTTAATGCCAGCACCCAGGAGGCAGAGGCAGGAGGATCTCTGTGAATTCGAGGCCAGCCTGGTCTCCAGAGCGAGTGCCAGGATAGGTTCCAAAGCTACATAGAGAAACCCTGTCTCGAAAAACAACAACAACAACAAAAACAACAACAAAAAAAATCTGATAGCTAGGTCTATGGAATAATGGTTTAAAGGAACTTGAAAAACTTACCATATTTTTTCCTAATATTTAAGATGATAAAATCAACCACATAAGTTGCCACATGGCATAACTGCCCACTTTGTTTCTGTTGTCTCTTTGTGATATTAGAATATTCAGTTAGGTATGGTGGCTGAATGGTCTAAGCTGGTCTCTAGTCTCTTCAGGGTGTTGGGCTGAATTCTAAGGGTTTCAACTTGTTTGGATAGTGAGTTATTTATTAGGGTTGGGTGATAACAAAGTCAAGTATTCACTGTGTAGGAATGAGGGCCTAAGTTTGGTCCCCAGCACCTGGTAAGAGGAAGCTGGGCTTGGTGGCATGTACTTGTAATCCTATCAGTGGATCAGCAGAGACAGGAAGATTCTTGGATCTCACTGGCCAGCTAGCCTAGCTTAATACATGAGCCCCAGATCATAGCGAGAGACCCAGTCTCAAGAAAATGAGGTGGACAGATTCTTAGGAAGGACAATGTTCAGCTTTGTATGGATGGCTGCTCACATGTGCCCTTGCCCACACATATATATGTACATATGTGTGCATGTGTGTGCATGTGTGCGCGTGCGTGCACGCGAGCACACACACACACATGCAGATGTTCATCTACTTACTTCTATACTGTTTCATTTTATATGTACTGGTCTATGCTCTGGGATACAGATCTGTTTTCTTGTGGTGGCCTCATGTCACTTACTTGAGCTCTCTACTGAGAACTATATTAATTCTGTCCTTTAAAGGTCGATTCTTCTCAGGAATGGAGAACCAGGTTTTCCGGCCCATAATCACCAGGTTCTGTTTACCTACAAAATTAAGCAGGAAGGATATTTTTGAAAACACACATTTTTAGTGTCATACACAGGCAAGATACCATTGTCATAGTGACATCTAGTGGATATCCTTTAGAAAAATTAAGACCAACAGCTTCACCCAAATTTCAGATATTTAGTACTCATTAACTAGATATAATACTTATTTTTCTTTTTGGTTTATCCAATTTATATCTTCTACTTAGGTTTTAGTCAATTGCAACCTCACATAATTTTGGTTCAAAGTGCTCAGGCTGACAGGATTTGTCCCACTAGATAACCCCATATGCTTTATTAAATTCTAAAATGGAGAAAAGATGCTCCTACCCCTGGAAATCTGAGAAGATTAAAGACTCATAACTTGTATTTACCATCTAAAACTACTGTTCTCTGGGTCATCTATACCAGCTCCCACTATTCAAAGGTTAAGGGACCATTGAGGAAGAGGGGGCAGATAGAACATAAGAGTTGCTGAAAGAGGGAGAGATGTGAAAACTGACTACAGGATGAGACATGGCTGATGTCTGTATGCACCAACTCACAGTCAGTCAAAATTCCAGCATGCAGAAGGGGCTCCCGAGGTCCCACCCTATCAGACAGCTATTGGTTATTGGGGGCTGCTGAGAGAGGGAGAGTCAGTCTTAGGTTGGGCTGGTTGTAGATTGCTCATGCCCCAGTTGACCACCACACAGGGTTATTGATAACAACTACAACATGAATTAGGGAAGGAGAAGAGGGCACAAGGAGGAGTGAGAAGATAAATGGATATGCTCTATAAACACTGTATAAATGTATAAAAACTTTCAAAGAATAGAAAACACATTTAAAAAGCACTTTTAGGAAAACTTTAGACATGCAGCTTCCATCTCTTATTTAATTGCTTGGGGAAAAAACCTTGAGTGTCAGACATCTGGATCAAAGGAACAGTAACAATTACCAGGTCATACTTAGGATTCTTTAATGAAAAATGACTTTGGGGGCTAGAGAGATGGTTTAGCAGTTAAAAGCATAGTAGAGGACCTGGGTTTGGTTCTCAGCACCCACATCTAGAGGCAGTTCTAGGGAACTGACATTTTCTTCTGCTTCTGTGGGGACCAGGCACATACATATATTTTGTACATACATGTATATAGGCATTCTCAAAACATATTAGAAAGAAAAATAATCTTGAAAAAATTATTATTTTTATTTTGTATGCACTGTGCACCTGTTTGCACAGGCCAGACAGTGAAGATGAGTGTCTTCACTTTATTTTTTTGAGACAAGATTTCTCACTGAATCTGGAACCCACAAATTTGGCTAGGAACAAGCCCCAGGGATCTTTCTGTCTCTGCCTCCCTAGTGCTGGTATTATAAATGTGTCCCACCAGGCCCACATTTTTATTTGGGTGCTGAGATTTTAACTCAGGTCTTCAAAACTTTACTGACTGAGCTATTTCCCCAATCCTGATATTTAGTTTGAGAGTAGACCATGTTAATGGCATTTACCAACTTGTCTACCAGTGACCTACTATGTTCTCTACCTGTCCTATGAATGCTGTTCAACATCTGCTCTGCTGACCTGTTTCCCCATTCTCTTTGCCAGTGGTTCTCAAGCATGCTAATGCTATGACCCTTTAATATAGTTCCTCATGTTGTGGTGACCCCCCAACTGTGAAATTATTTTTGTTGTTACTTCATACATGTAATTTTGCTGTCATGAATCAAAATGTAAATAACTGTTTTCCAATGGTCTTCAGCCACCCCTGTGAAAGGGTCATTCAACCCCCCGAAGAGGTTGAAACCCACAGAGCCATTCCTCTCCTACTAGAATAAACAAATATGTCTGTTAGAGAGAAATTACAATGAGTGTCCTACAAGCAACTGGAAACTGCCTTATAATAGCACACCACTCCCCATTCTTTTATTTCAAGTCAGACCCCCAGACTGCCCCACTGAAGGTCATACCTTCAACCATGCCTTCCTGCCTCTAGAATTCCAACAGCGCACATTAGTGTTTAATTGTATTTTAGCCTATTCTCCCTGCATTCTTTTCTATTTACTCAGGTTTCCTGTCTTCCAGCGGCAATTCTAAATACTGGCTCTGATCTTTATATTTAAAGCGCTAAATTTTGCTGAGAATTCTGTCCAGTTAACTGCTCTTGCTAACAAAATTTCAAATATTTGTATATTAAAGAGGATGCTTAATAAACTCTGGGAACAGCACAAAAATTTCTGCCAAGAAGCAAAGTTCCCAGATTCCCACGGGAGACTTCGCACTTCCACGTCTGCATTGGAAATCTTGCTTCATACAAACCCTAGAATCCTCATCTTAACCCCAAATTACCTTCCACTGAGGAGGTGGTGGTCATTCTTTGGAAGTACTTGAATTCGTTCCTGAAAGTTAGAGAAACACTGCGTTAACAGGGACCCTGTCACGTGTGCTCAGGCTCCATCTCAGCGGCTACCCATGCAAGTCCGGGGGGTGGTGCTGCCCAGTGACCGGACTTTGCTCCCAGCTAGAGCGCCTCTGGGCAAAGGCTGGCACAGCATGGGGATCACCGCGGGCATGGGCAAGGGCTGCAGCCGGCGGGCCTACCCCTCATGACTGTCCCTAAGTAGTTGGCCCGCGCGTCTCCGCCAAGTGCTCGACCCGATTCAGCGAACCGCCTCGGTTTCCCTAACCCAATCCAGCCAGTACCTGAGCATTGGCCAGGGAAGGTCTCCGTTCTTGCCGATGCCCATATTCTGGGACACGGCGACGATGCAGTTCAGCGGTCGAACCATGACAGCAGCAGCGATCACCTAGGCAGCCTGTACGCTGTGCTTCCCCCAAGTTTGGCGCGAAATTGCAGTCGCCCGGCGCTGCTTCCCACTTGTGAATCGGAGGCCACGCCCTCAACAAGCCTAGCATCCTATTTGAACATCAGAGGCCCCGCCTCCACGAGGTCAGACTCCGCCTCCACCAGGCCGGCCCCGCCCAGTCGCGGCGTGCGCGCTCGCAGGCGCGGGGTAGTACAGCCGCGCGCTCCCGGCGGGCTTGCTCTTCTGCATCCTGCGATGCCTCGCACCA